TCGCTAGAAGCTGTAGAAAGCTAAAAAACGCGGCCTTGATCAGACAGACAGCAGCAGGATATAACTGGCTTAAAATGAGACCTGTGACATAAAGACGGGGGACGACCAAATAAGTGTCGACATTGCTGCTGGCAACCCCGAGACAGACTGTGAAACAATGATGTTCCAGTCTGAACCCTAATAATATTCTGACAGGACTGCAGTGGACGCTACAATCTGATGAGGCTTAATTCGATCCCCATTAAAAAAACAAATCACGCAACCACTGCAATTATGTTGTCAGACTCAGTGGCAGTAATATTGTGTTATCCTCTTTTGTTTTTTTTCCCCAAATCAAGCTGACAAAAGAGTGTGTAAAACAGGAGAAGATTCCCTCTCTGTGCATATTGGCTAAACAAACACACATCTGCAGAGTGCTGCAGGTACTGCTGTACCTCTAAAATTACAGCTGTATCAGCCCACAATCAGTAACACAGCACTACTCATCTCTTATCAGGTATCAGGCATTAGACACACGGTGTGTAGGCTATGCTCGATTTGCATGTGAAAGTAGTCAGCATTCTAGTCAGCATAGGCTTGAGATTGGACAAAAATGACATCTTCCCAGTAGCAAAGCCAAAGTATCTTGATTGTGCCCCTTGTGGCTGGTTGTATTATAGGTCATAAATACCTCTCTCTATTGAGCCGATGAGACATGAGAAAATAAATCCCCAAACATGATCTCTTACATATCAGATTCACGTTATTATAGAGCTCTCCTTGGATTTTTTAGCAGCCTTTAGGCTTTTTTTCTTTCATCTGTCTGAAAGAACAACACTATAGAGTCACTAGTAGACAGTTGTGTGCTCTTATTTTGAAAGTTCAGTCACTACTAACCATTTACCTATTCACGTGGTCCTTGATATCCTTCTCCTGTCTGATAACCCGTGGACATGAGAATGCTAGACGTCGCTCTGACCTGGAGATCAGCTGTGAGCTGCATGGCCACTCACTCAATCTAGCAGGTGGGGAATGGCTTAATGTGCCACTATGGTGCACTCGCTGAGAGGCAGCTGCAGTCCACGACCTTGGAGTTGGAGTACAGAGACTCACTGAAGAGGAAGATGGCATTACTGATTCAATATTTGTCACATACTATTTCCCAATTAACATTGTTGCTCAAAAGCACATTTCAACCAATAATTTGTAGCTTGCACGTGAGCTCCTGCCAGACTACTTTCTCCACAATAGAATCCAAATCAAAAACACTGCAAATTAAGGGCTTCTTATTATATACTTCATGTCAATTTTACTTTGCATCATTTATTTGATATTATAAAGCATCTGATGTTGTCACGACTGACAGCAGTGATTGACAGCTGCTCTGAACTAAGTAGTTACAAAGTAACTGTCAGACCAACATTCAGAAATTGTGTAGAACATCAAACTGCACTTAATAAAACTCTGAGGGATACGTGGCATTTTCACCATTCTTAATCTTCATAAGAACTATCGCCCAACTGATTTATGGGGTGTTGATATTATCATCTGATTAAAGCTATTTGCTGATCTGGGTGACTGATAAATGAAAATGTAAAACGCAAAGAAGAAACTGAAGAAACACCCTTCAACCATGTTCTGAGTGTTGACATTGCATATTTTGTCCACCAGTGGGCACTCCCTGTTCCCTACAAACAACAACGAGCTGATCCGAGCACAGTAAATGCGCGTAAATTAGTAAATAAATAACTACACAAAACAAATGCTAGGAAAATGCACTTTGATGTTTGTGTGTAAAAGCAAAATAACATCGCTAACTATCGATATCGCTCTTGAAACACTGTAATCATGGTTCTATATAGAACATCTTACACATCCTCTGATAATGGAATTTGCATCACTTGAACCCTTGCAGACTCACTGATAGGAAGCACCACTAGCATGAAGCTATCTGACGTACTCCATGTCTGAAAACGTAGGAGAGTTAGCACCGCTTTCCATTTGCTGCTTCTGGTTTGAATATTTTGTTTTCATTCACTTTATTATTTTGCAATAATGAATCACAACAGCAATGCTTTTACATTTCAATCTCAGCTTATTTGCTTTTACTTGTGGGTGCAGCAAATCTTTTCATAATGAGAAAGGCACAAATGTCTCCAAATGAGGACTGAGACGACTCTTTGTGCAGCTTTTTTTTTTTTTTAATAATGACAGTCATGCTTGTGGTAAAGCATGGCTCAAAGAGTTGGCAGTTCGTCCTGTAACCGGAAGGTTGCCGGTTCGAGCCCCGGCTCGGACAGTCTCGGTCGTTGTGTCCTTGGGCAAGACACTTCACCTACCGCTTACTGGTGATGGCCAGAGGGGCCAATGGCGCGATATGGCAGCCTCGCCCCTGTCAGTCTGTCCCAGGGCAGCTGTGGCTACAACTGTAGCTGCCTCCACCAGTGTGTGAATGTGAGAGTGAATGAATAGTGGAATTGTAAAGCGCTTTGAGGGTCTCGAAAAGCGCTATATAAATGCAATCCATTATTATTATTATTATTATTATTATTATCATTATTAAATGATAACTAATGATCAGATCCGTAATCTATGAATACACAAACTTTTGTCTTCCACATCACGTCTTGCGCATGCATACATTGTGCGCCCTTGTGGAGGGGAAATGCAATTTGAATGCAGCCCCACTATTGGTGAAAACAACTACACAGAGAAGCATCTACAGAATGCAAACACTGAACAGCTCAAAGAATCACAGCCAGAAATATCGATGCTGTTACACTGAAGGTTGATGCATCCATGCTTTTGAAGATTATAACACTGAAGGTTAGAGAAGGAGGCATTTAGATGAGACGGGTAGGGTCGGGGTCAGGGTAGTCTACACAAACACAGAAGTGCAAATACATTTCTGTGTGCGTGTGTGTGTCTGGGATCGGTCCCTGGAGTTCAGCAGGCAGGAAGAGACGTGACCACACTGGCCAAGCTACAAAAACACGACGGGTCAAAAAACATTTAGCTAGGCCAACAGCAATGACAGCCAGAGTGCAGGACACGCACGCACGCACACAGACCCACACAGCCTTGGTGCCTTGTTTATTAATGTTTGTAACATCAGGGTGACCCCGCATAATTATGCAGCATTCCATATTCCTGTACCAAATGCTAAAGGACATGCAAACTAAAACACGGCTGAAGGAAGATTTCTACTTTAAAATATTCCTCCTCTGTGGCTCTGAGAAGCAAGTAACTGCCCTCTTTTTCCAACAGAGACGTAACACTGAAATAAGAAATGGCTGAGTTCATCCGCAAGTGCCTCCAAAGAGACACAGAGGAGAGGAGGGCTGCTTCAGATGCCTCATACAAACTCATTTGAATTGCAAATGTAGTTAGGCAGCATGCTGGGCTGTGAAATCCCAGCAGTACCCTCGGGCATCACGCACAAACACCGACGTGTGCACATCAGTAGCGAAACTTTGTGTGTACACTACAGTAAAAAAGACAAGACACAGAGAATCGTTGAGTTTGGAGCACTTTCCCATGTCTGAACGTCGTATGATCGCAATTTGATGCAAAAATAATGATGAGCTAGCAGTGCAGAAACTGGTGCTGAGATGAGGTAATGGCTCCCCTGCAGGTAGGAGGCATGGGGGTGGGGGTGTTTGGTGAAGGAAAAGAAGAAGAAGGAGGAGGAGGAGAAGAAGCATCAGGTGATGCTCGGAGGGAGGCTGGCTGGCAGGCTGATTAGGCAAGGCTGACACAGCAGGAGCAGGAGTGTGTCCGATGTTAACGACATAGATGCGGTGTGACAGCAGGCCTGCCAGCTGAGGCTGACGGTGCATGTGCGGCCTGAAGAAATGTGTTGACAAAGTGCCATAAGCACACCTGTATAGGGGCAGGGAGCAGGCCAGAACGCTGCAGAGGGGACTGTCTGACTTGCACAAATTTAAGGATGACAAAATCAATAGGAAGAGGTTATAAACATTTAGAAATGTCCCTTTGCATCAGCTGTTAACAACTCAATCGGCATGAAACATCAAAGCTATCAAACGTCATTGGGAAAGCCATGCAAATGCTGAAAGATTCCTACTAAAGCATCCTGAAGGCAAGTCTTTCCAACTCTCCAACAAAGTCCACATAACTAGTGAAAGCCAGAGGGCAGGGGGGCGAAGGTGAGGTCACTTCCATAACGTGACCTGCCTCAGTGTTCACCTCTGCGGCCAAACTGCCTTCACAGTTTTCACTAAAGTCACTGTTTCAGGCCACAGCACTGACAGAATCACTCACTGTGGGTTTTACAGCATTAAATGCACTGTACACCCCCTCCACTTTGTTTTGGAAGCTAAATATAACTGCTTTGTGTGGGCAAGCCAGAGGTGTTGATGGGAGGCAACATTGTGCAAGTAACTCCTCTGTGTGTGTGTGTGTGTGTGTGTGTGTGTGTGTGTGTGTGTGTGTGTGTGTGTGTGTGTGTGTGTGTGTGTGTGCATTTGTCAGGGTGGCTGTTGCATAAGTGCTGATGGGTGCATTTGAGAACGAACAGACTTAAACAAGAGAAGATCCAGTTTGCCCTGACAGGCTGAGACACAAACACAGAAGGCGATTTTGTTCTTAAAGCAGCAACTTTCAACTTCAGGATGAAAACATCACGTATATATAAGAGAGAGAGGGAGGGAGGGGCTGCCTGGCTGCAGGCTTGCAGCTCTGATACCAGCGGGCGCAAACAACTCGCTCCTGCCCCTGCTCCATTCCCACAATGTTATTCATCCCTCGGCAGAGGACGGCGCAGGCAAGCGGGCATAGTCCGTGCGCCTTCTACAATGATCGCTTCTACGTGAAGTAGCTGCAGCTTGGATAAAAGCCCCCGTCCCCTCCCGCCCCACTGCAGCACAAAAAGACCGTAACAAGAAGCCGTGATCATACAATTACGTGTGGAAAAGGAAGGAAGCACCAAAGCGCGACATTCAAATAAAAACCAACAGTGTGCTAATTTAAAAAAAAAAAGATGAAGATAGTCAACATACCCTCCTGTCAGACAGAAATCCAGGGGAGGACCATGGATGGTGCGGGCCGGGGGAGTTCGGTCCTGCTCCTGCCGTCGCTTCGTGTTTATTTCCCGGTTTAAGGGGAAGGTGGCGCGTGTGTCTGTGTGTTTATGTGTGTGTATGTGTGTGTTGGAGTTTTGCCGGTGAAAGGCGTAATGAGAGAGGGAGGTGGAGGAGAGAGAAAGAGGGAGGGACGCTGTCAGATGCAGGGAGGCAGGCAGGAGGAGGGAGGAAGACACGCTCGGGCACATAGCCTGTACTGTCCGCGTGCTGCTGAGGGGGAAGTGCGCAAAAGAAAGGAAAAAAAGGGAAAAGAAAACCCGCTGGTGTCAATCCAGCAAGAACATTTTTAAGCCCTCTCTGTCAACAAGTGATCACATCTGAATAAAAAAGCAGGGAAAATGGGGCAGCGAGGTGACACCATCTCTTATTGTTTCCACTGCTGTTACGTTCACGTACCCCTGTGTGCCATGACAATGTGACACATAAACACTTTTAAATGTGTTTCCTTTTGTTTTTCTTTTTTTAAGACAGCTTCTCGTGCAATCAAATATATAATATGTCTTATAATAAGCCAATATAATAAACCCTAACTGCGCGAGGAGCTGCTCTTATTTCTTGTAGTGTCGTCAGGATGAGGATGGCACAATCCCCTCTCTGATTTCATCACCAAGTCAACAGCTAACAGCACACAGCCTATTGACTCCCTCACTTTTTGCATACAGAGATGATGGGATTTATTGGCCCAAAGGGCAGGGCATCCTTATTCTGCCCCCTCTTGTAAATAAAAATAATGGGAGCGTGTCCATGAAAAGCAATAATACGGAGGTATCAGTTCCCTATTGTGCTTGCTAAATTAACAAGGTAGGCTATTATTTTGAGAGCCCGAGTTAGATATAATTAATCACTGATGAGATATTGCTGAGGCTGTTTTGATTAATCCTTTCCTGTTCTCAGAAACCAGTGCTGCAGTGCTGCAATATGCTGGGAAAGCTAGTGGACAGTATGTGTGTAAGATTGCCATGAGACTCTATACACTATTTGCTTTCTGGGTTACTAGCAAGGCACACTCCTAAAAACTCTTAGAGTCAGATAATCTAGTACCAAGGTTGCAGTTTGTTTGCCAGGAGGTCGCTGTTCCTATCCCAGTAGGACATTTGTGTTTTTCACCTTTTGAGTTTTCCCACTCGCTGCTTGGGTTTAGGCTCCAAAAACAAAATGGTTAGACTGTTGATCTGAAAACTGCCAAGTTTGCTCTTGGTGCTAATTGGTTATATTTTTGCACTTAAAACGGTCATGGCTCGGGTTAAAACATGCACGTTCAAACAATAAACATGCTCACTGACACATCAAGAGCAGGAGTAACAGTTCCCTCAGAGCATCAGGGCACAGACGTGAAGGGAAACCTCATGCTTTGACAAAACAGCTCTAAACAATGCACTGGAGAAGAGTCCAGCTTGGACATGACAGTCTCATTAAAGAGCTGGTCAGTATCAAAGAACATGTAGCCTAAATCATTTACCATAAATGTGTTTTTTTTCTGTAAAAACCTCATGCCTGCATTACTCTCAACACAACTTAACCACCAACGGCTCCATCTGGGATTTCTGTGTGTTATGGAGCTAATGAAGCCTTGAGCTGCTAGCCTCAAGCAGAGCAGAGGAACAGATTAAGCTCACTCAAACTCCAAAACCCAGATTTTTTTTTTATTATTTCATTAGCACAAACTGAGTCGAGACATCTCTTGCATCTATATGTCAGTCTGTGTAGTCTGTGTGTACCACTTCCCTACACCTGTAAAGACTTTGATGTGTAATTTTGGTTTGGGCTGCATATTAAAATGAATCCGCTGCCTTACTTTGGAATATGTTTTGGACCTGTGAGCTAAATCTAAATTTAAGACCTTTGTTTTTTCTTTGCACATGACTTTATTCACCTGTTTAATGCATTGTTTTACCATTTCTGGGCTTTGTTTACAGCAGCAGCAGTGCATTTCAGAGGTTTAAAGTCATTCCACATGCTACAATTAATTTGTGCTCCCAGTACGGTTCTACTTCACTTAGTGGGAATGGTTTGTCACCAGCCTTATTGCATATGCAGTCAAATTCTAATGTTTGAAAGTATCGAGCGTGGCTATATAGTAACAGGTTACTGTGATTATACACTTATTATCTTTAGAACTTGACTGCAGGTGCCCTTATGAGTATCCACTCACTGGCCGCTTAATTAAGTACCCTTTTTTAACCCACTAATGCAAATATCTAATCAGCCAATTACATGGCAGCAATTCAAGACATCCAGGCATGCTGGATTTCAACCTGAGCAACAAAACTGGGGGAAGAAAGGTGAACGCAGCATGGTTGTTAGTGATAGATGGACTGGGCAGAGTATTTCAGAAGCTGCTGATCTAGTGGAATTTTTCTGCACAACCATCTCTGGGGTTGTGTCTGAAACACAAAAAAAGATCCAGTGAGCAGCAGTTCTCTGGGAGAAAATGCCTCGACGATGCCAGTTGTCAGAGGAGAATGGCCAGACTGCTTCGAGCTGATAGGAAGGCAACCGTAGCTCAAAAATAACAACTCAATACAACCGAGCTATGAAGAAGATGACGTCTGAATGCGCAACGCTCCCAACTTTGAAGCATGGGAGCACACCGGGGGCCAGTCCTGTCAGCTAAGAACAGGAAACTGAAGCTATAATTTGCATGGCCTCGTCAGAAAAACAGAAAACTGGAAAAATGTTCCCTGGTCCGATGGGTCCTAAATATGGGGCAGTATTTGAACAGTTGGGTAGAAATTTGGCGCATACACCATGAAAGCATTGATCCATCTGATAGAGCACCTTTGGGATTTTGTGGAATGAATGATTCACATCATGGATGTGCAGCCAACAAATCTGCAGCAACCGTGCGATGCTATCATGTCAATATGGACCAAAACCTCCGAGGAATGTTTCCAACACTGTGATCTATCTATGAATGCACTTCTAAATGGAAACAGGGGCGTCCAGCCTGGTAGTAGCAAGGTGTACCTAAAGTAACAGGTGGGTGCCAATCGCTATTTGCTAAATTTTGTGTTGATCTTGACAGTTTTTTAACAATAGCACCACAACTGCTCCATAACACAAAACAAAGCCAGAAGCACTTCAATATTTTATTGAAATAAAGTTAGACATAATTGGTAAATGTTACCTAATCCCTGCTGTAGTACAGCTAAAATCACTGCAATGTTTTGGTATCTTCACAACCTAGAAAGTGATGTAATAGGTAATGTAAGATGCTAGGTTTACCATTCTGTAATAATTTTTTGAAATGTTTTCTAAGATACTGATCGATAGATTGAACCACTTCATGTACAAAAATGTGTACATGTAGTGCTGTGTAGTATCAAAGGGGTTTAGAAGCTTGTTTTTGTTCTGATGCACGCAACCGGGGGGGCAACGCTCGGTCCTTGTTCGTACTTATCCAGTGTTATGTTTCTCCATTTTTTATTCAGCTTTCTCCTCTTCATTTGTAACCCGTCTGTAAATTTATCGTCTTTTCCCAAAGTTGCATCATTAAGACATTTCCACTGAGAGAACTGAATAGTAGATGAGACAGCCTAAAAGTCAGTGAGAGATAAAAGTGTTGTTGCACTTTGAAAACAAGCACGTGTTCTGTGTGAAAGTATTCTGAGGCTGAGAGTGGTTTAAGTGGCTGTGTTCCTCCGTTACTCCAGTTCAAGCCGGCCAGATCTGCATGCACGATGCGCCGAGCTATAAGTCAAAAATGAAATTACTATAAGTGTTTAGCTATTGATCCTTGCCGCTCGCCTCCCCTTAACACACGCAGGATTGTTTAAATTGCGGGTGGACAGATCAATCCGAACTACTTCAAAGGCTGCCTGTTTAATAATGAAGCATCTATCTCCTCTGCAGTGGGAAACATAATGGCTCTTCAGAAGAGAGTGAAGTGAGACGATGGCCTCGGAGGAAAGTGGAACAGACACGGGGATGGACATAGCACACCAGTAATGCATATTCATAGACAATCAGGATGTTAATAAGTTGATCCCGGGCTCCAGTCCCTTGCTTAGAATTTAATTATCCAAACTGGCTGAGTAAGCACAGAAACATGAGTCAGAGCTGCCGGTTGAGGTTCAACCATCACCTTAATGTTCCCTTTGAAACATGAGGTAGCAATTATTCTTTGTAATGATGATCATAATGATCTGCTTTTCATTAACATCTTTATGAGAAACTCTGAAATTGTGGAAAAAGCTGCCAGAATATTTTTTCTAAAATATTATTTTTAGGGCTATATTAGCAGTCGTGTATTTTAATTCCACATTTCTTCCAAGACTAATTTAAAGTCATTAGAACCAGAAGATTGTCTCAGTTCACCTTGTGCATATTTGTTTTTTAAATGTACTTTTTATAAATCGGTGGCGGTGCTGGAAATTGTTTGCCTGCTTAAATCGCCCTCCTGGGATGAAAAGGGTTTTAAGCTCAGTTCAATTATACTAACATGCTGTGAGGAAACAAAACGGCAATTCTGGTGAGAACTGGTGCAAATTATTTGTTCCTCTGGCTCATCCATCTCACATTACCTAGATCAGTATTATTGCTGCCTACTGCAATCACCTTTTTGGATTCTACCAGTGGGTTCCCCAAAATTGGGAAACCAAACTTGTGAGAGGCCAACAGCATATTTAAGTCTTAGAGCTGAAACTGGATTTCTGCTCTGTCCTGGCTGCATGTCTAATAGCATCCTGAACCCCCTGCCCCCGCACACCTTTTGGCCTCATATAGGAGGTGTCTGTGTCGCCTATTATCAGTAAATTTCCGAAACCGAAGATGCAGCACTCCCTTTACTTCACGCTGTGCTGAGGTGAGAGAGATCTGTTTCCCCCACTCGCTTGGAAATTATGAAACCACTGAAACCGGCAGAAATTGAGTTCCATCGTGCAGGCGCAGACTTATTGCTGCATCCAAATGATGCTTTAGTTTAAACTAGCTCGGTTTACGACTCCATGGAAGCAGGATCTGTTTGGCTCCAAGCAAACATCTACTTGGCAGGATAGCACATGCACTGCGGAGAAGAAAAACAGCTGAAACGACACAAACGCCGGTTACACGTCCACCGTGTTATTCCACCTTTAAACCAGCCCATCATAGTGCCAAGTCAGCGTAGGCCAGAATTTCCCAAAATCTGAGCTGATAGATAATCTATGAGAGGTCCAACAGACAAGCTTTTAGGATTCTTATTGGAATCTGCTGT